AAAAAAAAAGCAAAGTCTTTTTCAAATAGAGCTCAACTCCTGTGACTTCATGGACATGCAGTATACATGTAGTTTTCTTGGTATCAAAGCTCTAGTGAGTTCTTGCCTCACTACAGCTGTTTTCAGTTCCCCAGTCTAATCTATAGTGCTAGAATTTCCCATTGATTTCTCATACAAACATTGAACAGATCAATTATGATTGGTATTATTATATAAAATAACAAAATAATGGATAATTAGTAGTGCAATATTTATTGCTGTGTATTCCACCATGAGTCAAACGAAATAATTGATAAATAGTCTAATGTTTAGCACCCGGCTAAAAACCAGGAAACAATGAGATCTAGTCCTTTTCATGCCTCAGGCATTTGAACTAGATGGATGATTTTTGGGCCAGTGACTCACCTCACAGGGTTGTGGGGAAAATAGGTGGAGGAAAAAATATTGGGCATGTTTGCTGCCTTGAGTTTTTATAAAAACAATAAAGGCAGAATAAAAAATATCTAAAGATAAATTATGCCAACTATAAAAATATACATTTTATGGCTCTTTAATTTCAACTGGAGAGCCAGTTTGATGTAGTGGTCAAAGCATGGGGCTAGAAACTGTGATATTGTGAATTCTACTCTCACCCTGGGTAGCTAGGTGACCTTGAGCAGTCACTTTCTCTCAATCCTGGGAAAGAGGGAGGCAAACAACTTCTGAAAAACCTTGCCAAAAAATCTGCACATTCATCCAGTCTGTCAGAATTTGACATGACTGAATGGAAGAAAAAAATCTTCGTTTTATAACATCAAGCTTTGCTACTTTTATACTATTTTGGGAAAGCAGATTCATATTCTGTTGGTTTGCAAGAAGCTTCCAAAATCACTTTAATTCATTCCTGCATAAAGTTTATACAAACTTTATGCAGGAAACCAAGCTGCAACAATTCTATCGCAATTTAATGTATTATTTGAAGGGATTTCCAAAATCAAACAGTGGACATTAAGTCTCCAATCTTTTTCCTAAGTCAGGTTCATATACGGGGTTTCCGCCTTACAAAATTGTAGCTCTGCACATGGTAAACAGTGTATGTGGACCCACGTAACATTTCGGTGGCCATAAAATTACACTTTTGCGTTCGTGTTTATAAGGATCGAGCGTGTCTGTGGCTTGATAACTGAAATTCCACGTTGTTTCCCTGCGGGCCATCTGGAAAGAGGCTCAGGTTGCCAGAGCGTTAAGGCAGTCGGGTTTATAGAGATAAAAAAACCTTTCGCGGTTACGCCACACCCCGCTGACCTAACAGACGAAGTTCTTAGGAACCTTAAACGGAGCAGGACCGTCTCGTAACTCCAAATCAGCACCACCAGCTGTTACACAACTGGCCTTGAGTTGAACCCGAGCAGCCGCTAGGCGAGCTCACACGAACACAAGCCCCCATCCTACAATTCACCTTCACCCGCACAGAGCAGGAGACAAGGCCCGCCTCCCCGCATCTTATGTCCAATTAGAAAATGGAATTTTTCAAGCACGCTCACTTCTTCCTTCGTCTTCAGCTGCGGTATGCTCCAATCAGCAGCGACCTTTCCCAAGCTTTCCTTCTGTTCTCAAGATGGAGAAGGAAGCTACTATATCTTGGGGAGGGAGACTCAACTTGAAAAAGACTTGTTTGGGAGGGGTACCTGCTTTTCATCCAGTCTTTTTTTTCTTTTTCTTTTATTTTCCCTCATATAGCTCATAGTAGTAATGCCTAACTCCTTTAAAAAAAATGCCGACGGTTTAATGGTTTTTGGAGCTATTGCTGTCCTCCCTTCCGGAAAAAATGGTCTACTCCAGTGGAAAGACCAGCCAACAGCCACTTCACCAACCGCCTCATTGGCGGGGGGAGGGGGGGTTCTACGTACCGGGAGATTGATCTCCCGGGAATGTGTCGTTGAGCCCGGGAAAGGGGCGACTACACAGACTGCTGCTTATAGGCTGTGCACTTGCCACTAAATGTAAAAGGGTCACCAAACCGAACTTCTAGATACTGTAAAGCAGTTGGGGGCGGGGGGAAACTATGGGCGAACTTCCCGCTGTTCTCAGAAATAACACAAATCTGCTGGTCAAAACTTTCTAATCGGTCCAAGCAGAAATAGAAGTCCAACCACTGGCCGAACTACTTGGAAGCGAGAAAAAGGAAGGGAAAAGACACATTTGTACACGATAGATCTATTTAAGTGTCTAAATAGGAAAGGTCCCTTAAAAGAAAACGCAATTTAGCACTTTACAAGTGGCCGAAATCTGCGTCGCCAACAGTGCAAATCCACATTTACGCATTTTAAAGAAGCGGTCGAGAAGGAAAGCCGCTTTGCGCGCCTCCCCCGCCACCGCCGCCACGCAGATTGTTTTCCACCTTGTGATGGATCCCACTTCCTTTGCATAAACAAAGCGTTCAACAGCACTAACGGTGTTCTGATTTGTACGATGTGCCTTTCTCGCGCCACCAACAGAAGAAAGAAATCAACGCTAGTATCATTTTCTCTGGCCACATAACAATGTCAAAGGAATGGCAGATTTTACAAAGAATCCGTATGCATTTAAAACTCCATTAAATTGCATTTAACACTTTTTCGCGAAACGCGAAAGGATGGGGCAATGCTGGGGTGGGGGGGGTGTTCCATCTATTTTATCATCAGGCAAGGAGTGTCACCACTAACATCAAGCTTTTCAAGATTAATGGCATTAGCATTGTTGTTTTGAATGTGTTTCTGCTGAAATAGAAATGATGACCCGGCCCCCAATGATATTTTTGGCCTCGGGGAATTCAGCTCAGTTCTCAACGACTGAGTTCACAGTGACGGCGTTTACCTGTCTGATGCTTTTTCCTGGAATTAGAGTAGCCAGCAGCAAGCCTCTTGCTTCCTTCTCCTTAGCCCGCTCGCCGCTCGCTCTTTTTGTCTTTTTCAAGTTCGAGCTCAACTCTAAACAAAGAAGACCCCAAACATGTGACCTCTCAGAGTCAAAACAGATGATGTCACGCACTTACTAGCCAATCTCAGCAGGGCCGGCTGAAAGATGTCTTGGGAAATGTAGTTCTCTAATCGAATGGTTTGCGACGCAATTTCAGACGTCGTAAGAAGTAAATTTCATCTTACAAGACTGAGATGATGTATAACTTTATTGCTGTCGAGGCGATATTGCATGGTAATATCTGTATAGGCAGACAGTGGCAGCTTCAATTTCTTAAAGTTTGTTTCTGTTAAACTGTAAAAAAACAGCGCTATAAAATAACTGATTATATAGTGAAGAAAGAAAATCTACCATAATGTAATGATTAAAATAAGCTAAATAGTGTCCAAAGAAGAAAACTAATTAACAGGAAAAAAATCTAATACAGATGATGAAACAAAATAAATTCACTCCTTCACTTATTATTAAATCAACACTGGAGACACACATTGCATCTTCTCATTGTTAGAATAAAGAGACTTAAAAAAAAAAAGATAAACTTATATTCTGGATCCTTGAAATCAAGAGAGAAAGCTGCTTTCTATTTAAGACAAGACATAAGAATTTATTTGTCATTACACTCGCAAGCGGGTGCAACGAAATGAGGTGCTCTTCCACAAGTAAAACGACAAACACCACTAAAAAAGAAAAAAAAATTAAACTAACCACAACCAACCATACAATAATCTCTATACAATTTAAAAATGTAAATACCCCACTACTCTCAGCCATTAGACTCCACAAAAATCTTATAACCCTGCATTCAGACTCAAAACTGCACTTGGATAAAAACTGTTCTTAAATCTGGTTGTCCTTGTTCTTAATACCCTAAATCTCCTTCTTGATGGTAATAGTTCAAAGAGCTGATGTCCCGGATGAGAGAAGTCATTCAATATGTTAAGTATCTTCCTCTTACATCTATTCCTATACAGTTCTTCCAAAGAGGGGAGTGAGCAGCCAATGATGTTTTGGGCCGTCTTGATCACCCTCTGAATTGCCTTTTTCTCTGCCACTGTACAGCTCGAGAACCATACACAGAGACAGTAGGATAATATACTTTCAATTGAACTCCGATAGAAGGTAGTCAATAGACTCTCAGCCAGTTGTTGTTTCCTAAGAATCCTTAGTAAATACAACCGTTGTTGTGCCTTCTTAATTAAAGCAGCGGTGTTTGCACTCCAGGTCAGGTCATTTGTAATGATGGTCCCGAGAAACTTACATTCAACCACCTGTTCCACACGAACTCCCTCTATATACAGTGGCTGAATGTCTGCTCTTTTTTTCCTATAGTCCACTATAACCTCCTTAGTCTTCTTAATATTAAATAGAAGATTATTATTTTTGCACCAGCGGGATAGCTGTAATACCTCATCCCGATATGCAGACTCATCATCCCCAGAAATAAGTCCTACAAGCGTAGTATCGTCTGCAAATTTCATTATCCTATTGTTGGGATGTTTATTTGTGCAATCAGATGAATAGATGGAGAACAGTAGTGGACTAAGGACACAACCTTGTGGAGTGCCAATGCTAAGTGTCTTGACAGTAGAAGTATAATCATTCAGTTTAACTCTTTGTGGACGATTTGTTAAAAAATCCAATATCCATAAACAAATAGAATCTGGAAAATCTAGATCTTTGATGTTCCTTTTTGTTGTACTACACACTCGAGAGACAAAGCATGAGATGGCAAATTCGATATCCTTTAGTATTTCTTCCCAATATTATATTGACATACACAATGATTTAAAACCAAAGCAAGCCCGTAGCTGGAGAAGACCAGATCTGATGAGTTAAAGAAATGTTCAATTTCTTACACTGACATAAACATCTTTGTCTATCCCTTTTTAACCATTCTTTGAGAGTTAACATTAAACCATATTGCTTTACAATTTCAATAAGCTTTTTAATGTATTGCATAATAATTAAGGATAGACATACAATCAGTATATAAGCACACTGTTGAGCATCACTGCATTCTTAATAATTTGAGATTCTCTTAATAAAAGAGGTTGATAATTCAAGAACCAAATTGGAGTTTTATACAGATAAGAGGTATCCTTGTTGGATAATAATGATATATGAAGAAATAAATCTATTTCTAGTAACTCTAGACAATGAGTGAAGAAAGTTAGTTTGGTGTAAAGCACCAGGCTAGAACTTGTCCAGGCAATCATTAGGAGTCAAAATTGACTCAAAGGCACTAAAACAAAACAAAAAGCAATATTGGGTGAAGACACAAAATTGTAATTCAGGAAACAAAAGATGGTACAGATACCTATCTTCTTAGAACCTACTTCATAAATTCAATCTAGATCAGCATCCCAAAAATTAGATCTGATTCTAATTTATCTGCTGTGATGTCAAAAATACATATCACCAGGCAAATATTGTCAGAAGCATGTCTTTTTTTAATAAACCCATGCTGTGATGAGTGGATTAAAAATGACATTACCTGCTATAGACTTCTCCTAAATGTTGTAGTTGCAACTTGTGTATTTTGCCTTCTGGAGCCTTTGAATCATGTGGAAAGTTTCTGTGGAAAGGGAACTTCACGAAGACATTTCTACACCAGTACAAGGGATGATTGCAGATAAAAAAACAAAGGCAAGGAAATCTCCATGCAGTCTGAGGTTCAGATTGGCAGTCTCCATTTGATGTAACGGCCTTGACGAGAAAGTAGTTATTATCTTAAAGAAGCCTCAGGTCCTAAGACATAAAAAGAATGACTCACTGTTCTTCTATACAGTAATGCTAAAGTTCAGGTATTCAGTGCTGGACCTTGTAGCACTATGACAGTTAAAGTTAAGTTTGGACCATACTTTCAACCTTACTCTGCTTTAGTAGAACTTCTGTCCACACCAAAAATAGGTGAAAAAAGAAGTAGGGCAGATAATACCTCCTTTGGTAGCAGTTTATGGCCATGGAAACTCAAAGGAATCATCCTTCTCTTCCCCTTCCCACCAATGGAAGACAGGAAAAGGAAAGGAAAAGTTATGGGCAAGGCTCCCTTTCTAATCCCATGGCTTTTTGGCACAATGACAGAGATCTGACTGTTCCACAGCCAAAAGGCAATATTCCTAAAACCAGTGGCAAAGGCCTGTGACGTTCTTCAGATTTACCAAATGATTTGCCATAAACTGACCACTTGCCACTGTTTATAATAACAGAGGTGAAAAAACATACATTTTTGAAGGGCAGTGAAAAATAACAAAGTGAAGGTCACTTTGAGGTGGACAATGGGTAGTTTGAGGATGCCTATATGAGTATATTCCTCAAAAAAAAGATTGATATGTTTCTTTTACTGGGGCTAGCAAGACATGCAGATGATTCCTCAGTTGTAGAAAGCACATTAGCATAGAATGAACATAGATTGCATTTTCTTTTTAATATTGCCAATATTATTTCAGTGTACTTTATGTATTGCATTGATATTATGGCTGGCATTGATATATATTACCAATATAATACTAGGATTACTTTAAATGAAACATGACTTTAGATGGTAACCCATATATAAAATAAATATGAACTGAAAAATCCAGCTGTATTTAATATATAGATATCCTTTTTATACTCTTATTAAAATTACAATTGAAAGATAAAAATTAATACAAACTAAAAGAAAGAATAAAAAGAAAAGATAGAAAATGCAGAAAAGAAAAAATTAGGAAAGAAAAAAGAATATAGTATAAAAAAAGAAATGACTTCCCCTTTATAATTTTTAAAGTAATTTATTATCTCTTAAAAGTTAATATAGATTTCCTGAATATGATACTGTTGACATTCATACGCTAATGAGAAACATTGTATTTAATTTCCGGTTATTTAAATTTAAAACACTGATAAATACAAAATTTATTTTCACTATACATTTCCTTATACATGTGGTCAAGTTTGATGTTTAAAAGGTTTAATACAGTATATCCAGACAATAAATTTCAATGACCTGCAAAAAAAAGTGAAAACAATTTTAATACTATTTGCTATAAATTACAGTTTTCTCATATTTAAAGGCATATGAAAGTCATCTTTAAGTATATGAATACTTGAAATATGTAAGATTTAGAAAACAACTGACTTTGTTTGTGTTAACAGGATGAGAAAGTGCAAGGCTTCCTGTTATGTGAGTGTGACAGCTGTAGATAAGTGGGGAGGCCCTCACAGGAAATCCGTCTTACATCTGCAGCATGACTTGTCTAAGGCTGAGAGAGTATCTCTAATTGAAGTATCAATGGCATGACATGGTGCTAAGTGATCAAACATGGGGGACATGGTGAAGAAGGACTTGGAGGAACAAACTGTATTGCCATTGGAAAATGAATGTACCAGGGACATGGCAGAATTTGTGGAAGTTTCTCTGAATGAAAGGGTAAAATTTAATGACACAGGCTTATCCATGGTCCTACAGAATGGCTTGGAGAATCTCCGTCTAGAAAACTCTCTCACAGACGTTACCCTGTGTGTTGGCAGCATGCATTTTTCGTGCCACCGTGTGGTCCTTGCAGCAGCAAGCAATTATTTTAGGTAAGGTAGATATTTAAAATAAGACCACTGGATTGTACAAACCTCTATCAACTTAGCAAATAGGAGGATAAAACTACATTTTCACATCCTTGATTTAAATCTACCTGTATTCTATATGTTTCCCAAAATTTTGTATTTGCGATGGTGCTAGAACACATTTATAGCGAATGTTGTATTGTATGTTTGCAACCCAGATCTTTTTTTGTGTGTGTCTTTGAATCAAACTCCTGGGTGAATCCTGGTAACTACCTGGACTGGTCTCTGCAGTTTAAATCTTTGGCAAGATTTTTTTAGAAGTGGTTTGCCATTGCCTCCTTCCTAGGGCTGAAAGAAAGTGATTAACCCAAGTTATCCTGCTGACTTTGTGCCTAAAATGGAACTAGAACACATAGTCTCCTGATTTCTACTCTGATCTCTTTAACCACAAACTGGCTCAGTATTAAATCTAACAAACAGAGTCTTACGCAAGACTCAAAAAGGAAAAGGAAATTAAAAACTTACAAGCTTTTCCAACATATAGTGTCATTATTATCCCTTTCCTGGTGATGAAATTATCTGTGGAGTTTTTATTTGTTTGTTTTAGATATAGTAGTTAAATTATCAGC